TCTAACTCTCTATCCCTCTCCCTTCCTCTCTGTAAAAAAATCAATAAAATATATAAAAATTTTAAAATAATAAAAAATAAATGTTTTCCATTATGTTTATCTGAGAGTATATTTTTTTTTTAAATATATTTTATTGATTTTACACAGAGAGGAAGGGAAAGAGAGAGGGAGTTAGAAACATCGATGAGAGAGAGTCATCGATCAGCTGCCTCTTGCACACCCCCTACTGGGGATATGCCCGCAACCAAGGTACATGCCCTTGGCCGGAATCGAACCTGGGACCCTTCAGTCCCCAAGCCGACGCTCTATCCACTGAGCCAAACCGGTCCTGGCTGAGAGTATATTTTTAATTGTTGTTGTAAAACCACTTTTCCCATTATTTTTACAGAGTTATAAGAGAACCTTAAGTTTAAATTATGTTAATCTTATATCTTACTGGATATACTCATCTCATTTGATCTTAATTGTTTTCCAGTTGAATTTCTTAAATTGTCTAGCTAGGCTGTCATATTGTCTGAAAGAAGTCTATTTTAATATCTTTCTTTCCAATATGTGCATACAGCATATATCTTCTCTTATCTTATTACTCTAGTAGAGTGTTTAGTGGAAGCAATAAAGACTGGTTAGAAGGGGTAAAAAGGACATCCTTGCCTTGTTCACAACTTATGGAAATTCTTTTCATATTTTGCCAGCTGCTTTTTTATTTCTTTTAAAACAGAATACTCTGTTTTGTGTATCTTGCTATACATACACATAACCATTTTTTGAATGTTAATGAAACTTAGATCAAAATACTCAGAACACCAACTGAACTACACGCGCCTGGTGTGTGTAATTTGGGAATAGAGGACAGAGTGGCTGAATGTCTCCCTGGGACGCCTTTCTCCCCTCTGACAAGTAAAGATATTGTGATGTGATGAACAAAAGATTATGAGTCAGAGGTTTGAGTCCTTAATCTATCATTTACTAACTGTTGACCTAGAACAGTTATCCAACCTCTCTGAATTTCATTTTCTCATCTATCAGATGGAAACAAGGATCTCGGATTTGTTACATTGACAATGTAACTGTTGCTAGGGTAACAACCATTGCTATGGTAGTCAGCACTTCTAATAGATATAGACAAAGGGGCTAAGGGACCACTACAGAGTCCAGAATGGAGCCTGGGGCTGCTCTGACCAGCTCTGCTGGCCCCTCAGGCAGCACGGAGCTAAGGAGACTTGGCCTCACATGAGCTATCTGTGACTGGGTGACTTTTGCTTACTCCTTGCTGCCAGGACTTGGTCCCAGTAGGACCCACATGCCTCTCTCTGGAATGCCAGCCAGGAGACTTGCTTCAGCTACTAGTGTGTAGATATTTGTGTCAGCCTGGCCTAGCACAGACTGTAGGCCTTTGAGCTAGAAGGCCAGGCCCCTCTTTGTACTCTCCATTCCAGGGATACCCCTGCCCCAGGCTGGTTGTGGCCAACAGGGAAGAACAGCTGACCTCTGCCATCACAACTTACATGCTTTGTGACTGGTGGGAGGGAAGAGGTACCTTGGGGTATCTGGAGATACTGGGCATGAAAATAACTTCAAACTGAGAGCACATGGAATAGTGTGTACTAATGTCTGAACTAAGATCCATGCTACAACACATAATGGAAATATGCTGAGATTTGTAGAAAATCTGGATCCTTGGAACCTTGAAAGAGGCTGTTGTAGTATCAGGTGAAATCATATGGATGTGCTTTGTCAGCTGTAAAGCACAGTACACATTATAAGGTGGTCCTGAGTCTGGCCCTTAGGTACTTGGTCACAAGTGTGACCATTGCACAGATGTGTGTGCAAGACCTACCCTAGAACTTGCCTCTCTGCCTCCGTGTGTTAAGGGTAGAAAATCAAAGTGAAAGAGTTAGGGGATTGGGAAGGTGATCACAGGAATGGAGGATGAGGCCCAAAGATTACCATCTGAGCCTGTGACCCTTCCCCACTTTTCGAATTCATTTCTTCACTTAGTGTCACCCCAGATCTCTCCCTGCAGCAGGATGCAAAAGGACAGGACTGCCTAGAGACTTCCTGACAAATTCCTGCTGTATTGCTAAGCAACTTGGCCTCCTCTTCCAGAAAAAGGAATCCAATGTTCAGGGTCTTGCTTTTTAGCTTTTACCTACTTTCTTCTCCCCCAACCTCACAGAAACTGGAGGAATTTCTCTGGCTCATGGAAGGAGAACTGGGGTACAGAGTTGGAAGGTTACACTGGTGAGAGATGGTTTGCACTCACAGGGCAGGTATCTGTTCTGGGCTGGTCGATGCTGAGGGGAATAACAATTATGGGGCAGGCTTTCGTGATGGATTCTTTAGACACATGCTGTTTTCTTGCAGCAAACCAATCAAACGAAGTGGGTATAATCAACATGTTTATTATTATTATTATTATTATTATTGATTTCAGAGAGGAAGAGGGTGAGAGAGATAGAAACATCAATGATGAGAGAGAACCATTGATTGACTGACTCCTGCATGCCTTTTACTGGGGATCCAGCTGTTAACCCGAGCATATGCCCTTGACCAGAATTAAACAGGGGACCCTCAGTCCACAGGCTGACACTCTATCCACTGAGCAAAACCGGCTAAGGCTAGTTGGGCTTTTGATTCCATCTGCACAAGTGGAGCTTGGCTGAATGGAGCATGCATTACTGGAGGAGACATGGGTTTATGAAACTCTAGGGGTTGGGAGAGGGTTTGACATTACAAGCAAGGCTACCGAAGGCCACTGAGGACTATGGAGACACCAATCAGAACAAATCACTAAGGACTCCTTCCCTGGCTCATCTGCTCCCTGGAATACATGAGCCCACTCTCCCACCCATGATGTCTACATGATGTGGAACATACCATCCCAAATGCTAGGCAACTAGAGCAGACTACCATTACATTTTAAAAGGCAGGAAATTATAACAAAGAGATATGAATAGTAGCCTCTGTATAATGGGACTGTAGGTGACTTTTTCCCGTACTTCATTACACTCTCATCAATGTTTAATGGGGCCTTATGTGTGTGTTTTCCAACATTTCTATGCCATGTGTGTGTGATTTGGAAAGCCAGAAAAATAAAATGAAAAGAAAGCAAGACTCCCCATGAACCTGGCTGGTTTTATCAGCCCTCTGGGAAGGGGCATTCAGGCTCTGGCTGTACTGTCTAGCCTTCCACCCACATTCCTCTTTCCTTCCCACAGGCTTAGGGAAATCTCCTTAGCTGCCTTGTAGGAGCCAAGGCATTCTCCCACCAACCAGTGAGGAGCCTTTGGTCCAGGAAGAGATGTGCCCTTGGGAAAGAAACACCAGAACCAAGAAGACGGAGGAGCAAGGAGGTTGCCTAGTTGTGCAGCTTGAGGTCCTGGCTATCACTTCAGGTACCTTCCCCGGTATTGTTTCCATCTATGGGGACATGTTTAAGGCAGTTTTCCTGCCAATACGTTTTGTAAAAGGCACAGAGAGAACGTAAGAGCTATGGTCCCCTTGGGAGCAGCATTCAGAAAGGTCTCTAGATGGTGAGGGAAAGGACCCAACCAGAAGGACCCACTTGACTCACTTCTCGGACTTCCTGAGGTCGAATCTGGAATGCAGGGCTGGGGTTCCCTCTTTTTCTCCCTCCTTTCTGAAGTATTGGCATCCTCCAGCTCTCGGTGGGGTGGGGGGCAATGCGGAGGGGTCAGGGGGAACACACACCTGAGGCTCCAACACACCTCGCCCAGAGCAAAGCCTTCCAAGGTTTAGCTGCAAAACATGGCCCGGACTTACCCTCCTCCAACCAGCAGAGGGCGCGCGCCACTTGCAAGAAGGGGGGTACACAAGCCCTGGCTGGAAGTGGCCGGCGGAGGGGTCCCTCCTGAAAATGAGGCGGCAGATCCAGAAAGAACAGACAGAGATGTGTGGGCAGGGCCCGGCTTGTAAATGAGAGTGAGAGAGAGAGTCTGAGTAAGGGTTAGAAGTGGATGAAATGGGAGAGACTGAGGAAAGGTTCAGTTTGTGTTGTATGGAGATGAGACGAAGTTAGATGGAGGTCGGGATGAGATGAGGGGCAGGTGAAGGATGGGTGAGATAGGAAACGGTGAGATGACCATGTGTGTTGTGATGAAATTGGGATAAAGTAGGGTGAAGGTGTGGGTGGAAGGCAGACTGAGGTCGATTGCAAGGTGAGGGTGTGTGTGTTGTTGGGGGGGGTGGGTCTGGAACATGGCACCTCCCTCTTGACTGGGCCCATCACAATGGCTCCTCCCTCCCCTCCAGTAGCAAGCACCCCAGCCTCTTTGCCCTCACTCTCTCCAGCTCTTCTGTGGCAGGCCTCTGCTCAGGCCTTCGCTGGGCATACCACTTCGTTTCTCCCTGAAACAAGGTTCTGGTGAAGCAAGGAATTGAGAGAGGAGGCAGCAGGGAGCTTGGGAGCTTTAATGGTCTGGAAGGGAATAGAAACACACAGGGCCTGTCCAGCGGAGAGAATAGAGGTGGGAAGGAGGGCCCCAAAGCGCCTAGGTAAGTCATGGGGGCAGTGGCCCTGACCAAGCCTGCTGAAGTGGCCAGGAGGAGAAGGTGGACTGTGAGAGGCCTCCACCATAATGGGGTCCGGACAGCTCCATGGGGAAGAGGAAAAAAAATGAGAAAAGATTTGGAATTCCAAAGAGAGGGTTCATCATGGAGTGGGCTTCCAGGAGCGGGGCCTAAGCGCGGGTGGAGGGAAGGAAACGACAGGGAAAGCCAGAAAACCAAACCTCCCTTCAGGGATCTGAGGTCTAAAATAAGATGGGAGTTAGAGCAAGTGAGGGGACACAGTCACCCTCCCCTAGGAGGTGGGAGGTGGGGTGAGGGGAATCAGCTGTGAAAGGAAGATTGGGACGGTTTCAGATCCCTTTCCCCCGGGGCTGGGTGCGGCCCACGGAGTCCGATCCGAAGTCGAAGGAACGGTGGACTCCTACCCAGGCCGCGGATGGGATTGAGCGCGGGACTGGGTCGCCGCCTGCCTAGTGGTAATGGCCCCCCAAGTGCGAGGCGGCGGCTACGGCACCGAAGGGCCCGGGCGGGGGCTGCAAGCCCGGGCTGGGGTAGAGCGCGGCGGTGGCGGCGGCGGTGGCGGCGGGGCCCGGGCCGGGCCAGTAGGAGAAGCCGGTGGGCGCGACGCCGGCAGAGGCGGCCATGAGGTTGAGTTTGGAGAGGCCGGGGAAGGGCAGCGGCGCCAGGCCGGCCGGCAGCTTGTAGAGCGCGCCGTCCTGGGCTGCGGCGGCGGCGGCGGCCGCGGCGGCGGCGGCGGCCTGGGCGTGCGTCGGGGGCGGCTGGCAGGCCTGCGCCAGGCCCTGGAAATCGAAGCGGTAGGCGTAGCGCTTGCCGTGCACCTTGCTCATGATGTTCTTGTCGTAGTAGTAGCGCAGCGCGCGGCTCAGCTTGTCGTAGTTCATGTTGGGCTTGCTCTTGCGCTCGCCCCAGCGTCGCGCCACCTCGTCTGGGTCCGTGAGCTTGAACTCGCCGTGGCCACCCTCCCACGCGATGCAGCCTGCGTTGGCACGGTCCGCCAGCAGCTCCAGCAGAAACTGCCACAGCTGGATCTGCCCACTGCCTGCGGGAAGGGGGTCGTCAGCCACAGGCGGGATGGGGGGCTGAAGGTGGGGAAGGGGTGAGAGGAGATGGGAGACCGACCCAGCTGGGGCGGCTGGCCAGGGAGGGGCTGATCAGCAAAGCTGTCCTAGTGGTGACCACACTTTTCCACAATGGAAACACAGCCCCCGCTTAGGAGGACGAAGCCTGGCTTTGTGAGAACTGGGAGCGAGGGGAAAGCATCGCCTCCTCTGCATGGAGGCAGAGGTGCAGCAAGACAGTGGGCTCCGTGAGGTGAGCAGGGACAGGACATCAGCCCCTGTGGCCACATAGGCCAGAGTCCTAATTGGAGCAGAGCCTGCACAACCACTGGCGTTTAAACAGCCCCATCCCAGCGGGACTACATTCCCAGAGCCAGAGAGAGGAGCCCACCGTGCAAGGGGACCACGGGGCCACTGGACAATGCCCAGCCCTAAAGACATACAGTCTCTCCGCTGGCCGCCTGGGGTAGGAAAGAGGTGGTAGCTGGTTTCTTTGCCAGACCACTCAGACACGAATGAGGACAGGGGCGCCCTGGGCATGAGAGAAGGGGCAGCCTCTGAAGGCTCTCCCCGCTCCTCCCCTCCTTCCCCCACGGTCTGGTGCACAGAGCACGGGGCGGGCGCTGAACAGGCTGGGCCTCTTTTTCGGAACAGGCGGGATTCCTGGCCTGCAAAGTTGCCATACTTCCCCGAGGAGGTGCACAACTCTGAGGAGAGGGGCTGAGACCCGAAACCACCGCACTTAGCTCCCTGCCTTCTCTCGTCTTTGGTTCGCCTCCAGGCTCTTCTGCCCTCTCCCTATTCTGGGGTTGTTGGAATCGACAAGGAGGTTTCCCCCAGACATGAATGTGAGGACAGTCCAATGCCCCAGTACTCCCTCTCCCCTGTCTTGGAGCCTCAATTAGACAAGCGGAGACAAATCTTGATATACATCCACCCCCACTCCCTTTTAGAATAAAATGGATTTCCCTCAAAGTCCGATTTCATCCTATCAATGAAATTTCCTTTTCTTTTTCAATGACTCGCTCGGAACCCAGACGCCGCTCCCCGTAATTTCAACCCCAATCCCTCCACAGGAGTCCAGAGAGGAGCTGCCTGGCTCCAGGTGGGGAGCATTGGGTTTTAGGTCAGAAACAAAGGAGGGTTTTGGGTTAAAATGTGCGGCTCGTACAGATGCAGAGCACCGTCAGAGGCCTAGAAACACATTCCTGATGGAAGTCCTGTTCCCTTTTGAATAAAGCTGTTGCCAGCCTTGTTTGTATGATCAGGGTAACCATGACATTTAAGGTACCGGCTGGATGGGGAGCTGTCGGGAGGCTTTGCCTGGAAGGCCAGTCAGGTCCCACCAGCAAGGCAAAGCAGAAGGTAATGCAGCCACCTGCGGAGCGCTGGCCTTGAACTTAGGAATCCACAGCAATGACCCAGGGGACTTGGTGGGAAAAGCTTGGCCGCTGGGGCTCAGGGAGTCAGGTAGGCGCTGGCCCAGGTGCTGGTGGTGCTAGTGGTCAGGGAGTAAATCTTCCATCTCTTTGCCCAGCCATGCTGGGGCTTTGTGCTCCTGTTGCCAGCAAGGAAAGGATGCCAAGCGCCTCAGCCCTGTCCCTCAAGGAGTGAGTGGGGGCCAGGACCCTCTCCCTCCACCCTGGCCTGCAAGTCCAGCGCTGAGACTTAGAAGATGCAGGAGCTCAGGCCAAGCAAATGCCGCCCCGCCCCATCCTTCCCACAATAATGCCCGGACCCTCTGATTCCTTGAGCCCTGCAGTGCATATCCCTCCCACCCTCTGTTCTGGTAGTGGTGGATGCCCTGGCTCCCGTCCTCTGATCTCGCCCCCGCCTCCCCAGTGCACCAGTCAGCTCACCTTTTTGTACCGCAGGGCTCAGTGGCCCCCACCCCGGGCTCTTCCCCTCCTTGAAGAGACCTTCTCCGACCGGATCTGTGGCAGCAGAAGAAAACATTCAGAGGGACCCAGGAGGAGGCTGTGGGCTTGTCCCAAGGGGCCCTGGGGCCAAGGCTCCAGAAGGGGGGCCTTGGTTCCCGGGGGGTGAGGTTGGGGGCCCAAGCTGCCCGGCTCCTCCTCCCGGAGCCCGGCCGGGGCGCGCGCCGCGCGGAGCCCCTCCATAACGCCCAAGTCAGGAAACGCGTCCAGGAAAAAGGAAATCCGCTTTCCGAACGGGCCGGCGGGAGCCTTATAAAGCGGGGCCGGGACTGCGCCTGTCGAGCCGGAGCGCCGGGAGCCCCTCGGAGAGAAAAGCAGGGCAGAAGGCTGGGCCGGTGGGAACCCTGGGAACACGGAGGTGAGGAGCCACGAGGGTGCAGGGGCGGCGCCCGGCGGACTACCGCCTCCCAAAGCCGCCAGCGCCCAGTCCCCACTACATCGAAGACCGCCGTTCCCCCTCCAGGCCCTTTCAGCCCCCCGAGCGGGCGCCATCGGCCTCCCAGTCTCCCCATCTGCTCACTTCGAGTCTTCTAGACCTCCCATGAAAGCTCCAAAGCTCCCCATCTGTCTTTACCGTCGTCCTCCGATGCCCTAGATTGCTCAGTCCTTCCAACGATCCGAATCTCTGGACTGCGCCCCTTCCCTTGGACCCCGACAATCCATTTCCCACGCCCCAGAGTAGACTTCCAGCCCCGGACCCCGGTGCCTCCAGCCCCCAGCTGGTCCCTGGTACCTGGCAGGTACATGTTGATCAGCAGGGGCTGGGAGGCGCCGCTCTGTCTCATCGCCGCCCGAGGCTGGGTGGTGGGAGGTTTGGGGGGGGGGGGGATGAAAAAGGGGGGACGCGTCAGGCTTTGCGCTCTGGGGTACTGATCCCCGCCCGACGCGACCGCGGGTACTTGGGAGATGAAGGCAGCGCCAGGTCCGGCAGGGCCTGGCGGGAGGGGGCTGGCCGGGTGAGGCGGGGATGGAGGGGGTCCTGGAGCCACGCTCCCAGCTACCAGGCAGCTTGGAACCCTCGGCCTCAGGCGCGGGCAGGGGCCGCAATTTCCGTTTTAATTAAAGCGCTGTCGCCTCGGCCCCCGGGACCCCGCCCCCGCCCCTCTTATCGCCCCATCGCAATAAAGTCTCCAACGCGCCGTGCTGCAGCCAAGCGCACCCGGCAGCCCCCCGCGCCCCGCAGCCCGGAGACGCGCGGGGGATGGGCCTGGGCCTCGCACTCTGGCAGGGGTCAGGAGAGCGTTTCTTTTCCGCCTCCCTGACTCTCAGCAAACATCGGTGGGGTGGAGTACTCGGCCCCACCTCGGACCTCCAGGGCCACAGTTCCTGCTACCGGACCATTCCCGCCCCACTCACCGCTTCACTCTCCTCCCCCTTCCTCCTCCCACCCCCACCCGGGTTCCCGTCTCCAGGCTGCGTTATCTGCATCTTCACTTTTAAATTTCCGCTTCCCTCCCTCTCTCCTGTCGCTGCGCTCCCGGCAGGGCAGCCGTAGCTCCTTTTATCTCCGAATCCCTCCTCCCCAAGCCTTCTCCCTCCTCCTCCTCTCCCACTCTCTGCTCTTCCCTGGAGACCCGATCCCCTCCCCTGTCTGCCTTTCCAGGGCTCCCAGGCCCCTGGGCCATCGCTGGGCGTCTTCCCCACAACTGCTACTGGGTTGCCCCTCCCCGCTTTCTGGGTCTCCTCTTCTGTTTAGTCTCTTTTACACCCAGCTCTCCTCCTGCCTCCACTCTTTCTCTCCCTCCTGTCTCTCTCCTCATTTTCTCACTAATGTGTTCCCCATTATTTGTGGCATACAGTAAGCTCAGAGCACCCTTCCACTTCCACCATAATGACTGCTCTCCCAGTCTTCCCATTCCATATTATCCCAGCCTACATCCACCCTCACAACTGCTGCCATCCTGGCTATTCCTAAATCAGTTGGGAATTGGCACCTTGCTCTTACAAGAGTAGAGGGGCTAACACAGGGTTGTGAACTGTACAAGGCCCCCAACTCAGGGGGAGTGGAGGCTGAAATCCACTCTGGAAAGGCGGCAAAGATGCTCATTGTGTATTAGCCAAGCCGATGTGGTTCCCAGGTGGCTTGGAGACTCTGGGCACCTGTGGGTCTTCCTAACTGGATAGGCTCCAAGGTGGGCTGCTGTCTAAAGATTCTGGGCCAGGAGCCACTTGCAGCCATGAATCGCCTGGTGGCTACGGTTGGAATTGGTACTCTTGAGGCCTTTTTCTCCCACTACTTGAGCGCAGGAGGTGATGAGGCCTGGGACTCCAGGGCACGTGGATTAGAATGGGCAAGTTTTCTGCAGGATCCTGGTTCTGGGATGCCTGGCTGAGAATTGGCTGGAAAGCCTAACGTGGTGGGTTCTTGTGTTACTGCCAGAGTGTTTGTCTTTACTGGTGGAGGGTGTAAAGATCCAAAGGAGCCATGGAGGAGTGTGGGAGTCAAAGACTAGGGAGGAATGGAGGGATCCCAGGACCCCAGAGGATTCCAGAGGGACAAGGATGGGGGCTTCAGTATAGGGATGTGGAATCCGGTGGGAGCAAAGATGAGAGGTTGGGATGCTCTTTGGGAACCAAACTCAGGGTTTCGCAGGTACAAAGGGGCTTAAGGGTTCAGCCTAAGGCCCAATCGTCCCCCTCCCTCTCCTCCCTCTTTCCTCTTCCTCTTCTTCCTCTTCCTCCTTCTCCTTCTTTTGATAATCCTCACTGGAGGATATTTTTTTCATTGCTTTTTTAGAGAGAGCGGAAGGGGTGGGCAGAGACAGAGAAGTATCAATGTGAGAGAGACACATCAAATGGTTGCCTCTCACATGCACCATGACCAGGGCCACCAGGCTGGGGATAGAGTCTGCAGCTGAGTATGTGCCCTTGATTGAAATCAAACACCCTCCCCCTTCAGTCTGAGGGTTGATGCTCCATCCCCTGAGCCAAATCAGTGGGGCACAGTCCCTCTTCTGCCTGTTTTCTTATCACTTCCACGGATAGAAAATAAGGAGCAGATGGTCAGAGCTGGGAGACACCAAGGTTCAGTCACTCAATGCTCTCATCTGAGAGGCTTCCCAGAGTGAGCAGTCTATCCAGACATCCTAACTCTAAACTGGTGATGGGTCAACATCTCAGGTTCTAAGCCCCTGTCTCACTGAGGACTCAGGTGTTAAAAGGATAGGTGGGATGAAGGAAGGAGTTGTGCAAGTGTGGGATGAGGGGTAAGTGGGAGGGTAGAGGGTGGGCACGTATGTGTGGGGTGGCAGATGAGAGTTGTCCTTTAACCCCATCTGGATCTTGGCTGCACCAGTAATTGTCCTCCTCCATCCCCTTTGGCCTTTGGCTGAGTGCAGCCAATGAGCAAGTTCCACGCAGGGTGCAGATCCCATGGGGTTCTGCAAACCATCAGTCTGCCTGGAATGGGCCTCTGCAGCCCCCACACCTTTGTTGTCAGTGTGGGGAGCAGAGTCCGACCCCAGGTCTGGGAGAACAAAAGTTGCTACAAGTATTAGCTTCCCCAACTCCCTGTTGTATAGGTGAGGACACTGATACTTAAAGACAGATAGTGCCCTGTTCAGGGTCACACTGCCAATTTCTGAAGCCATCTTGCTCTTTCCAGCAGCCACAGACATTCCCAGAGAGAGAACAGTTTAGTTGATGGTAGAGACCATATCTCCCTTTGCCCATTGTTTGCTTCCCAAAACAGGGAGTGGGAAGATGGACTGCTGGGCTCTGGGGCCAGTTTGTCTGGGTTCAACTCTGGGTCTCATTTCCTAGTGTGTCTTTGGGAAAAGTTACATAACCTCTCCACCTCCGTCTCTTCATCTCTAAAATGGGGATTATAGTACCTATTACACAGGATTATAAGGCTTATACAACACATGCTGACTACTCAGACAAGGCTCTCTCTAATCATTTAGCTATTGTTACTGCTACTATCCCCCAAAGAGACAGAAGCCTATGTGTCTAGGCAGGAACCCCAGGCTCCTTTGGGGCCCAGAAAGATTTGGAGCTTTTCTAAGGCCTGAGGCTTTAAGCCGCAGCTCAGGTCAGCCTCCATTTAGCATGGATTGGGGTCAAGAGCCCTTGTTCAAGTCACCAATTAAGTTGGTAGCCTCACTGAGGCTTCTCCCCTCAGAGGAGCTCCAGTTTCTTCGTTGGTGAAAGGGATGAAGCACGGAGTGTGTTAGGAGAATCATCTGCAATAGACCCCACCTAGATCTCTGTTCCTTGGTTTCTGGACCTAACTCTGGGATCCATGGGGGGACAGGGGAAGGAAAGAAGGCTTTTCCATAACACCACAAGCATTTTCAGGGGGTTCTCATTGAATCCTCCAAACATCCCTGTGACACAGATAAGGCAGGGATCACTAGCCCCAGTTTATAAAAGAGGGAATGGAAGCTCAGGGGTGGTATGTGATTGAGTCTGACTTCTGGTGTTCTGACTTCTAGTTCAGGGCTCTTCCTCCAGGGAGCAGATGCCTGGCTTTGCACAGCTGGACTCGTGGGGGCTCCCAGGTCCAAGTCTGACTGTTTTTTCAACATTGCCTGCCTCCCCTCGGCTGGGGCAATGATCTGAGCCACCCCTCTGCATTGATAAACCCACTAGGGGCTGGAAAACAGCATTCCCGAGGGAGGGACATCATGAGAGGAGTCCCCAGAGCCTTGGAGGTCTTGCTGATGTGGGTCTGAGGGTGTTGTTACCTGGACAATAGAGGAAACTAGGAAGAAACTACATTGGTGGCAGGGGCTCTCTAGTGGCTGCTGCCACACTCAGTCCTGCCATGTGTGTGGACTTCTGCTGCCTGCTCCATGGCTCACTGTAGTCAAGGACTGAGGGGTTGCCTCTTCAGCTCACCAGTTCTCCTAAGAGTGGGAATGAAGAGTGAGTTGTTTGGAACAGTAGAAAGGAGGGGTATGAAAATGCTTTGTAAATGCTGGAGTTCAAACAATGTGAGGGATCGTTATTATTTAGACAAAAGGGTCTGGAGGCTCTGCTCAGAGAGAGGAAGTCTCCCCCTTAGAAGGTCCTGGTAGCCAGTGAACCCTCCCACTAATTCCTGCTCTCACACTCTTGCTCTTCTGTAAGGCAGAGATTTTATAAGGCTGGGAAAAGGATGCAGGCTTCTCCAGACAAAAAGGGAGGGAGGTGACAATAAAGACTGGAAATGCCTTAGGGGTTAAAGAAGAACCCAACAGAGCTCCTCTACCGAGGTCCTGCCCTGCATGGTGGTGCCTGGCCCAGGACTGAAATGCAGCATTAAACCCCGCTGTGGAGCTGTGTGCACTCCAACCAGGGGATGGCAACAGTGCCATTTGTCCACAGTGCCCATCCCAAGCTGATGGGTCTTTCCTAAGGAGTGGTGTGGCACTAGTTGTAGTTAATAGGATACCCAAGGCTCTTACCAGCAGTTTCCTTTCAGCCCCATGAGTAGTGGCTAGACTAACCACACACATCTTAATTCAGTTATGCTCCATAATCAAGGGTCCTAAAGCCCTAAGGAAGAGTCAGGTTGGCAGGGAAGGACCCTCAGAAAGATGAGGATAGAAATCACAAAGCAAGACACCAAAAAAAAGAGGCAAGAGGGCAGGCAGGTTCAGGGGGCTTTATTGAAGGTTCTCAGGAGACGTGTAGGAGCCATAGGCCCTATTGCTGTACTTTTTGAATGGACTGCAGCTGCCCAGTATGGATGTGTGCTGAATTCACTGTAGTTATGGAACTCCCTGCCATGCTGGTTCTGCTCCAATACATACTGGTAACCCTGGTAGCCTGGATACTGTTAGGCCACCCACCTAGACCA